ATTTGGATGAAAATTTTCTTTACAATTTTAAACAAGATTTCTTTAAGGTTTCTACTTAATTTAGAAACAGTATCTGTAAAATTATGATCGAAGTCAATTCAGGCAAACGATCAAATTTATGTTAAAACTTATAAGCATCGCGAATAAAGTCTCAATAAATCATTAAAAGTTTCAGAACATAAATTTAACTAAAAACCTCTCAAGTTTTTCAAGTAGCCGATAATTGGACACTATTTCTTTTTCTCAATTCTTTATTACTTGATCAAATCATCATCTAACAATATTATGCAATTATGGAGCTACTTCGGTATACGTAAAAGCATGTAAAAATATTAGAAGAAAAAAACTCATGTATATATTTTATTTAATTGCGCTAAAGAGTAGAGCTTAACTGACTTAATTTTGTTCCAAATTATTTTTCTACTGGTGTTACGCTTCTGTTCGTACCATTTAATTATCTCATCTTACACCCTTCAATTTTGGCTCACGCGATATTCTCTACGATTGCTAACAAGCCATACGTAGTAAGTGATATTTATGACGATATCCTGTTTAATGAGGACGCTAGTTTCTTGCACGGGCCTTAACACATATATACGCAACGTTTCACAGCGGAATTGATTTAAACGATTAAATCACTCAACAGGATGAGAGTAATGATAAAACGCTCCTAAATCATTTTTGTTTGCATTCAAAACAAGGCTTGAAAATATCTCGGAAATTGTCAGTCAGAGACAATTTGAATTATTTTTCATTGCGCTAAATGCACAAAATGAATTTAAATAGCATAAATAAAATATTGTACTTTTATTAGGTACGTTTTATGAGGTAGTTATATTAATAAGCTTAAATACGATAATTAAGTATGTTTTGTAATTTTTATTAAGCAATTATTAACAATTACTTGCAAATAGTATTGTTTTATTATCGTTATCACAATGTAGTAGAAAAAGAGTAAAATTGTTATGTTATTTAACGGAGAGAATTAAAAAAGTTGGCACTTATCTTTAGTTCTAAAATATGCAGAAAACAATACTTAAAAAAAAAAAAAATAAGAAATTTGGTGTATTTTCGAAGTGCATTTTCTTAAGTCATATTTATTATTATTACAACTGCCTCTACATCAGAACGTTTTTATGAGCAGTCTCTCAAGATTGGTTTTTTTTATTTTTGTTGCAGTGCGTGCAAATGGCGCACGCGTTAAGACGCATCTCTTACGCGACTTGTGAGCCGCAATACGCCCAATTCAGCTTTCTGGCGCGAGAGCCCAGAGCCCACTTCAGCCTGCAGTATTGTCATTCTTTTATCACCAAGTCTGCAGAACAGGTAAGTAAAACGCAACTTTCTCTTTAATATCTCCTTCTTTTGCGACATATATGTATAGAACGTCTCCGAAGAAGATTGGAATATCTGAAAGATGTATTAATGAGGTCACATCCTGAAGCTTCCATAAAAAGAAATGAATTTTTTAAATTCGCTAAAAATGGAGCTGGAATAAACGATTACAACAATTAAAAAATATCTAAGTGACTAAAAGTATACGTTAATGCAGACGCATATAAAACGAATGGGAACATACAGTGTTCTAAGCGCATTTCTTTAATATTTAACTGCGGCAAAGTATCTCAAATAATTGAGTTAATATAAATCGTCGAAACTAAACCGGGATTTTCGTCCAAGATACTGTACGTGACAGGTCGACCCTTGCCAGTGGACAACCACGTGCGTCTCAAGTGGAAACTGGAAACAGTCTCGTCGTTTAAAGCTGATGGATCGCTTCCTTTACTTTCGGCAACTTTGCCAGCATTTACAGCCAAGCCGCACGTTTAATAGACAAAATTTAAATTGAAATTACAAGACCAGATTCTTCTCTTAATCGTAACTACAGGATTCTTTCCGCACGAATTAATGAATCTAATACTGTACTCATTACCACTAATTCTCGTAAAGTAAAATAAATTTATATATTCGTAATATAATAATTACTATATATAATATTTGTAATATAATAATTAATAATATTCTAATATTATCGATTTGTTTGTGAATTTTCATGCTTAATCGCGAGCAATGTATTTCATCTTTGCTTAAATTTAACAATACGATTACAAGCTTTGTTGTTACCGTGAGACGTTTCACCGCTGGCGCTGAATCGCATTTATCGAAAGTCATAACAACCGGGGGTTTAAAGCAGGAGGAACGTGCCTCGGTACTGCGACCAGCGAATACACGAGGAAATATCGTCTCGAACGTCGATATACTGACAACTACCGAATCCCAGGATCTAAAAGCCTCTTTCTGTTGTCTGGAAGATAACATCGCCCGAGGCTTCGAGGTCCGTCGACGATATCAGAAAGGATAGAGCTATAAGTTGGCGGAGCTTTAGTGAGTTGAGAATAGTAGACTTTGCACTTGGAACTTTGCACTCTGCCATTGCCTTGACATTTAGTCAACCCTAATGGCGCACTCTTCGGATTAAACTTTAAATACCTTCCGCCGAATTAAGAACGTCATCGTTCTTGAAGGTCTCGGATCAAGTATGCTTACTCTGATAGCGCAGTCGAGGAGATTGCGAGAATAGGCGGAAAATGAAGAACTTGAAAGATTTCTGCGTTCGTTGAAGCGGTTGACACCGCATTTTTAGTTTCCAACCAATTTCTACGCTCTCTGTCAGGTGATTTGTCAACATATGATCCACACATTGAAGGGGATATAAAAGTTTGAAATGATCTTTTCAAAGGAAAATAAAAAAGAAATATATCCATGTTCCTTTTTATATTTTCTTTATTGAACCAAAGGACTAGACGCAACACGCACACAAGCACACACACACACACACACACACAAAACTGACTGTATTCCTGACTGTCGTTCTATGATTTAACGATCTCGTAAAAATTCTGACTAATTCGAGATTCCGCAATTCGTTCCTTTAACTGATCTTGAAGAGCGCCTTAAAATGTACGTTAAGTAGATACAGGTACCTGTGGCAGGTACAGACATTCCAAGGAAGGTATACAAGCATTCTAGGTATAGGTGAAAGACATCGAAAGATATTTTTAGGAAGGGATATATACAGAATACTCCGAAACACGTATTTAGGTATAAAAAACAGAGGTATTTATCTCGAAGTACTTCACCGGACATGACGCGAGCCTCGAGTCAAAACCAAAGTCCGCGATCGAACGGCTCGTCGCGTTGACGGCAGGTCAAAGAACGCGAATCGCAAACTCATGCGCTCAGTGCGGCGCTGGCTCTCTGTCGAGTGGCGTTCTCGGTCGTGGCAGGGTAAAAAGAATAAGAAGCCATGGAAAAGATCATGAGAGGGACAGAGAGCGACAGAGGCAGAGCGGGAAAGACTGACCGACAGACTGAGAGGGAAACAAAGAGAGAAAGAGAAAGAAAGAGAGAGAACGAGGGACAGCGATGGCGAGAGGGAGGACGGGGACACGTGGTATTCAACAGCTGCCGTTGAACGTGTTCAATGCCGCGGTTGAAGCAAGAAAGCGGTCGGTCGGTCGGTCGCACCGCTCGGCTTCTCGCAAATCGCGGTGGGGATGGAACCGTGTGGGCCGGCCAGAGCGGTGCCTCGCTTCGTGTTCCTCGTGGACTTCAGTCTTTCTCTATACGTATACCGGGAGATATTGCCATCGCCAGGCCGGTTAAGCACGGCGGTATCCACACTTTGCGGCTTTGCGAGCTCTCACCGCGTGAAAAGCAGCACCGACTAACGTACAACGAAAAGGGTAAGAAGAGAACTGAATGAGGAATCACCAACCAAGGAGGTTCATCCGGTGGCATCTCATCCGGTTGACATCAGAAAGGATGAACCGCGCGTGAACCGGACCTCGTGTCTCCTCGAACGGTCCAAACCTAATTGGTTCCCTGCTCCCCGATAAAAATATAATCGAAAGTTTCAAAGAAAAAGACAAGGAAGAGATACCACGTGCTTCACCGTGGAGTATCACCAAAGATTAGTAAAAGACGCAAAATTTCACATCTGGAAACTTTCTAACGATTGCTCAACCGTACAGTTTTTCCCTCGACATCACGGGATTCCAGAGTAGGAACAATTAGGAGGGAATATGCCGGGTACGATCGCGATATCGGTAACAGAGGCCGATGCAGCAAGTCCATCGGAAAATGTAGAAGGATGTAGCGACTGCGTGTGTGGTTGACAGACGACAAGTAAGAAGCGAGAAGCGACGCGATACTCGTTAACCGGTTTCCGCGGGTCGGCATGCAGAGCGACACGTAGCCGGAGCTACGCACGCCATCAAGAGTGGCTCTCGGATCCTCCGTGCGTGTGTCGCACGTAGGATTGGAATCCCACAGGGTCTCATGACATCACGATCATCGTCACTTGCTAATAATATCACATCTTCTCGCGGGAGATCCGCTGCACAGGGGAAGTTGAAGCCAGTCTCATGTCGGACTCTCGACAGCTATGCGCGATGGATGTACCTTCGGTGCTACTGTATTTCCGTTACCAAACGGATACCGGGGTCTCCAGTCGCGTTAACTGTACGAGAATCGAGTGGTGCTCATCCACGTGCTGCTACGAAATATAGATCGGACCTTCATCATTTTTCAAGAGGCGTCTGATTCCGCGATAGGTGTTGGTATCATCGAAGGGATATCTTCGGAGAAAGGTGACGGATGCGGCAAACATTTTAGCGCGCCGACGCGACGTGCCGGTGTTCCGTGCGTTAGAAAGTGCGCCGTACAGTGTCGTGAATGTGTGACCGAAAATGTGTGGAATGTTGATGTTAGAAATGGATGTGACAACATTGTCGAATTGTTATTAAATCTGGATAAAAGCCGATCGTCTTTTTGTGTGCGATCAGTGTTTGGAAAAAAAATATCCTCCTTCGTAAAAATTCAGGGTAGCCATTTGGTTAGGCTCAATTTGAAAAGGACACCGTGCAAAATACAACGGTCGCTGTGGCATGAGGAGGCTTGCACGCAGACGCAATATCCTGACCGCATTCTTTGCGATTATGGGACGCCTTAGCAAAGGCTCGCAAAGCACAACGAGGCCCATTTTCAGGGTGCATTATCGCAAGCTTGTAGACGAGTACTCGCAGCAGGAACAGTTGAAGTTTATGCCCGCATTACCTGACTACATGTCGTATTGCTGTTGCCGATGTGGTCACACTCAAAAGCTCAAAGTGAGTTCTATTTGAAACCAGATCATGCTAATTTAAAACTCAACGTTCGTGTCAGCTTTATTTATTCGTTTTCTCTTGAGTAATAGGAGTTTGAATAATTCGTTTTCATGCAACTAGCAGGATAATTTCCGCTTCTAAACGATTGCAAATACCAGTTCTGACTAACCCGATATGCATAATAAGACGATCTGGATATCGCCCTGCCTTCATGGCGCAGACTTTACCTTTTGCGATATTAACGGATCGCGATTAGGTCGCGGTACCGCAACGTGACCTCGGAGACATGGTCGATGTAGTGGTTAAAAAAAAAAGGAAAAGAAGTGATACGATCTTCTGTTGTTTTACCAGATTATAAAACATGGTCATTAACGTCTAGTAGGGTGTCGCATAGCTCTTCAAATTGTTCAGTATCTTTTCAACGCGGAAATAACGTCCAATGCAAAAGTAGATTGGAGAAAGAGAGAGAGAGATGTAGTCGAAGTAAGAGAATTAGTTAAATTTTTTATATTGAAATTGCTCTCTAACTTCCAGTCATTCAACTTTCTAACACCTACGTTCATCGATCGGAGTTGTCATTAGTAGAACGTATTTATTCGTTTCTTTATTTAAGATATAAAAGAAAATATGGTCCAGGTTTGATATTCACATTCCAGAATTTGCTAAAAGAAAGCCATCGAGTCGGTACATTATATACTGTAGTCTGAGAGAATGTGTGTGTGTGTGTGTGTGTGAGAGAGAGAGAGAGAGAGATGGGGAGGAGGGAGGGAGAGGCAGAGAGAGGAGAGAGAGAGAGAGAGAAAGAGAGAGCCTAAGCCCGGTAATACTACTATCGCGTACCAGAAAGAAAAAGAGCTAACGAGGGAAGGGAAGAGTGAAGGGGGATAAGCCGTGGGATCGGACGAACGCATTCCTCGGCTTCATATAGCTGCTTGTAGCGCGAGATGCCTCGCTGCTTCACTCGTTGGCTCCTTACCGATAGAGTGTCTACACAGCATTGATATTTTAGCGACGATATACGAACCCGTCGTTATTCTAGCCAGCATTCATCTGCACCGCGAGCGTTTAGACGGGCGTTTACGGAGGACTCCGTCAGTGAGTTTAGAAAATAATAGAAACGTGAGCGTTAACAACGTGATATAGCTTCCATTGTATCGTTAATGCTGCGTGCTCTGTAGGTGTTAGTGCACACTGCACATCGGCAGCTGGATTATCTCGCATTGTCGCCAAACCAATTCGAGCGAGAAGCTTCGAGGACCTGCGTGTGACAACTGCTATCCCTCCGTTAGTTCCTCTTGACTTTACAATGGAAAATCATAATTCGAGTCGACCTACCGTGTCCCGCGGACAAAAGCCGAAAGTCCTTCGTAGCGCTGATTTACAAAGCTCCGTCCGAATTTGACGAGTTTTCAATGATCTCCCAGGAAAGTTCACTATTCGTGAAGCCGCCAGGTGAATCCGCGCGCAAGGATTCGTCCCGGATTCCCATCTCCGACGCGATCGAAAAGATATTTTCAGCGGAAAGAGAAAAAAGAGATGGAGAGGAAGCGAGTCATCTATCGTGTTGCGCAAACGTTACGGAATTTCTCTCAACATCAATAGAGCATCTCGCACAAAAGGTGGTCCATTACCGTCGAGGCATCTCTCGTAAAGACTCTCGAATACAATATCAACTCTCGAGTTATAGGTGGAGGCATAAGTTATACCTGGTAGCTTCTCAATAACATGTTAGTGAAGAACTTTGTAATGGTCTCGTCACCGATTTTTTGTATGTACCATTCACATCGGCTGCTTCATCCTCTTCCGTTTTTGTCATCGTAGCGCCTCGGAGCAGATGTGATTTTGCGTTTTCTTACCACGCACGATTGTAAACGTTTCCGACGAAACGTTTGCTTTTCTCATAAAATATGCCAATCGAGAGATTGGACAACTGACGCAATGACTTTGAGAAACGCAAGGTGCTCTGGTGACGAATATCATCTAGGTTCCTTATGCCGTGAACGCGCAATTTTGTTATAACCTATTATCGCAGAAATGGCAAACGGTCGCGGAAAATCTATAATGGCTCTTTATAAGTGCTCGACATACTGCCGGCCACTCGTGCAATTTACAATTTGAGATTTCCATGGTGATTCCAGGCGGGAACGCCGTAAAGTGCCATTTTACAATGACTAGACTCGCTTCCTGCGTGCTTACTGTCGAGAATGACATCGCGAGGTTCGTGCAATGTTCATGCGCTGTGTCTCGAATCGAACGCATCGCTCTCGCATTGGACGCACACGTCAACTATTTTTATCGTCGACAATGCTGCTCCCTTTCATCCACGTTACTATCTCTGTGCTTCATTCTGTTTGATTTTACAAGACCCGCTTCCGGGTTTTGCTTTTTATTTCACTGCCGAGAATACAGAGCCACGGTTATTCATCGCACAGACTGAGAGCTGCACACTTACTCTCATATAGTATAATTATATAACTAATTATGTAATTAAATTTTTATATTTTTAATTGCTTGCCAATATTTTATATCATTATTAGCGTCTTATTAGCTTATACATTATTTGTTATTAAGAACAGTCTAATTTGCACTATTCATACACTTTAATGTTAATTATAATTAAAATTTAAGGACAATATATATGTTGATATTTTAATTAATATTTAAATAGAATTTTTATAGTTTTATTGAATGTTAAGTATTCAATGTTAATGTATATAAATATATATATAACATAAAAAAAATCGATTATTCTTTGACAAGAAGTCTACGCGTGCATTAAGTGGATCAATATACATATTAAAGTTCCATTCTTCAATATACGTACACAGGCGCAGCATTCTCGATAGATAATAGGAATTGATTGACTTACGCAACAGAGAACATTAGGATTATTCTGTAATCTAATAGGTACTGCGTTATGCGTAATACAATATGTAATGACTTAATCGATTCGAGCCAAATCCAATCGTAACAGTAATATTGTGTATCTGCCGTTTAATCAATAGTTCCGACGAACATAATTTTCAGCTACAAAAAAACATGAAAGTCGCAAAATATTAAATATAAAATAATTTTTTTATTCTTACAGGTGTATCGCAGTTAGAGAGAATAAATCGAAAATACCGATAAAACTGTTCATTCATTTCGGTACTTCTTTTTATTTTATTTATTATATTGTTAGGATGGTTCGGCAACTCACGATGACTCAATATTGGTCGTTGATAACGATTCTAGGTATACATATCATTCTACATTGAATGTTTGTGCCCGTATCTGAGAATCACTGCCGGAACCGCGCGTTCGATAAGGAGGAAACTCGAGCGACAAGAAATTTGAAGCGAAGCGTGATCCTCCTCGCGCGTCGCATGCGTCCTCGAGGGTGCATTTCTGGAGGTACCGAAATAGGTTTAATGACGAGGCTCAAGGGTACAGTAGCAAACTGTACGGGCCACAAAGTGGGCGTATTGTCCTACTGTGATGCACGATTCACGCATCACTACGTCTTTAAACTCGCCGCTTATTGTCAAGGGCCCTCATACAATGAGCCAGACCGATGAATCGCGACAGTAAAGCCAATCAAGCTGCATCGCTCATTTAGACGACTTGATACGTGGGTTCCACGCTAATAATCTGTTAATAAGAGCAAGATACACGAGATAGCAATAAACGCTTCCTTTACATTATTACAAGCGTAAATTCCTGTTAATCCTGCATTAGTAAGGGAAATGACAAACTTTAAATACTGTAAAAGTGGTATTATTTTTACTTTGAACTTATCATTATAATAAAAAAACTTTTAAAATGGTTTTGACAACTTTATTGGCATAATTTAAATCCAAAGAGGTGGTTCCACGTTAATTAAAATATTAAAAATATTTGAAATATTAAATTTCAAATATTAAAAAGTTTAATTTTTAAATTATTTTTAAAATGTCATATTATTTCGACTTTTAAATTAGTTGGGATTATATTAATTTTGGAAAAAACGACCAACGTGGCTACAATATTAGTAATATGTTGGTATCGTGTCTTTTATACATATATACGAAACAGATGGAGCAACCAACAGCAGACTCCAGTGACGTTAATTGCTGATCAAAGGGTCAGATTATGCAACGGTTGTGCTTCATCTGCGCTTCCTGACCGATGCATCTCTCTAACTATATTCGATCCAATCTTCGACCGATTTCACGTTACATCGAACAAAGTACTCGCCATACGGTCAAACGATATTTCGGCATTATGCACCAACAAGGTTGTGCAGCTTCCCATATGGATTAGCGGCTGGTCCAAAAAGCGCAGAGCCAAAATTATTGTTGCTAATTATCTATTTGTCAGGAAGGTTCAGAGAGATTCGAACTCTAACTGGGGTAATGCTTTCCGCGATAAATTTCTTGTAAGTGTATACTTATTAGCGTTATTAATATTAAATTAATTATTAATTATTAATTTAATAATATAACATCGTTAAATTTCTATAAGCTTTGGCATACGTTTGAATATTAATCAGCACGTGAATTAAATATAAAAGCAAATGTATAAATCTACAAAAATCATCATATAATAGTTTTTGGCATAAGACCTCGCACTAAATGTCAAAGTATTCATTTATTCTGTGTCGTACACATCGATTAATATTTATTTATTAATGTATCCATCTCCTTCTTTAGTCTGTTATTTGAATAATTTCTTTTCGCAGAAACGATTGATTCTTGATATTCATGAACACAATCAAGAGAAGATAAGTGCTACGTTCGCATCTTCATTATCATGCGAATGTGAATTCATTTTCTTCACAAAAATGAAACAGATATTTTTCTCTGAAACATATTCTAATTCAATTTCCGCTGTAAATTTGGGCTCAATCGCTGAATTAATCGCTTTGAACGTCGTAACAATTATTTGTCAGCAAATCTAACGCACAAGTCGATTGTATCGATATAACGGCATGTAACGGTGCAACTTGAATATTTGACATTCGAAACTATCGTGCCTGTCATGAGCAGAAGCCCATAACACCGAAGGCGGAACTTGTTCATGCTTGTTTTAACTTGATTCGTCGATCGCACGAGTTTGACAGTCCTTGAACACGTGATCTCCTTTCTCTCTCAAATAAACGGAGATTGAAAATGACAGAGAACTAGTTAAACTTCTGTTAACTTTAGCTAACGTTTGTGGGGACGACATAACACAGCGGGGTTGTCACAAATTTGTTGTTGTCATCTTCAGCGAGTACAATCGCAAGCTCGATAGTAAACCGCGCGGGCAAGTCGGAAGAACGCAATCAAATGGATGAGAGAAGCGTAATTATTATAATCAATTATGATCAATTTTATTATTACGTTACTATTAAAGAAAGAAAGAGAATTAGCATAGCGATGTGAATGTGAAAGTATGGTTGAACCATCAATGGCTGCGTTCAGCAGAAAAAACAGCTTTTGTAACTGCTGTAAGAATCTTTATAACGATTGGTTCGTTATATGTATATATTTAGATCCAGGGAAGAGAATTAAGAGGAATAACCAATTATGGTATATTAAAGGATCTTACAATAGTTGCAAAGCTGCTTTTTCTTCTGCACGTAGCCTGATGACTATGGCGTTGGTAGCGAAGCGACGGTACCAAGATGGTATAGTGTCGGCACCGGTTCATGCGGCACAATAATAACGTGCGACGAGGAACGTCCGTTTACTTCGTACTCTACAATTTTTCCTCTCCGGCTATTTACACCCGGGGGTAGAGCATCGCGACGTCGAGGTAAACCAGAAACCGAAGCGAGGGAAATTCAGAGGTGCGACGAGAGGGCCGGTCCCCACCCGAGCGCCATTATTGCGAGTACCGGCTTGTGTACCGCGGAATGGTGTTGGTAGACCGGGTGTATGCGGGACGGGAAATCTAGAGGAGCTGGAGATATGGCCGTGACCGCGCGGAATGCCTGGAATGTAGCCCGTCACGCTGCACCGGCGCAAAGCCACGGCGCGATCCATCGCCCTTTCGGTCCCCTTCTCATTCGATTCTGGTGTCTCTCGTCGTTTTGCCAAACTCACTACCGGCGCAAACAGCAAATCAGTAGGCTGTGCTCAAGCGAGCTAAAATAGCTCTTTCGATGTCATGTCCTTTTTTTCCTTTCTTTCTTTTTTCAAATTTCCCTATAACATTTTACGTTTGATCCATGGCGTTGATGTCGCTTTTTGGATCGATATACTTCATCTTGAGCAGTTTCGCTGACGGAAAGCTTCTGCAGTCTACGATTCAAGGAAGTGCAAAATGTCACGATTTACCCGCGGTACGATCACCACGATCGATCAAATGGACCTGAATCACAACGCGCGGTGAAGAGGGTCAGTGCCTGCCCGAGTCAACGTCCAGGATAGGATAGAGCGGAGAGGAAGGAGAGTCGCTGGTGATGATTTCATCGCGCTTAAATTCCACCTCGGGGCGGGAATCTCAGGGCCGTATTTTCGATTCTCGGCCACGGGGACGAGGTGGAGAGTCGAAGTTGAGGGATCCAACTCGCGTCCAGCGTTCCGCCCACGACGCGATAAATTCTCCTCTATGACACGATCCTTTGCTCTTCGTGATGAGCGAGAGCGAGCTTCCATCGCTTGGACGTTTTTCTTCACGATTTCCGTGTAACATTATTATATAGCGTTGATGGCAGGAACGTGCTCTTTCCTGCGATAAATTAGTTCTCAGATTTTTCCACATTGTAGAACGCGGTGCGCTACTTCATTGATAATATCTGCCGTTTTGCATTTTGACGCTTAGTGCACACGCATACGCGCTTAATAAAAGCAAGAGCAGCTGAAAGAAGTTAAATAGAGTAAATTTAATGTATGGACCCCCTACCATATATTAAATTTCAAATCCAACAACTAAAATTTTTTTAGTCAACACTTAAAGTCAAAGTAACGTTGGTGCAATCGGGCTTTATAGAAGGATGGAAAGAGCGCTCGGGTATGACTTAGCGAGTTGTGGGGCGGCCGTGCGTCCGGTTCGCAATTATAGCTCAAGTCATCGCCTTACCCCGCGCGCAAATGTAATTGAAATATCTCGTAACTAGTGGAATCATTCGCGACCTGACCTCAAACCACAAACCATGAAATTATTCGAGCGAGCCGTTACCGCGCTGTTGTCCTGCACGAGCGCGTATTCATTAAAACGCATCACTTTCTTGCATTACTTCTTTTGCTTCGCCTTTCTAAAGGTGCTAAATGGCCAACTCTAAGCGTTGCATCTCTACGGTATAGGCTTCCGTAGCAACGCGAGACGAGGTGGTGAAAGCAGCACCGGTATACAAATCAATGTGTAGCATCATTGGAAAATACAACGCGATACGTTCGGCTTTGCAATCCTATCTCTCGTTTTTTGCATTTTCGTCGCTCGCGGATTCCACTGGCGCGAGCTGTATTTCCTTGCTTTACGGGGCACACTGAAGCCGCGCGGGGCCGGGATTTCCGCATCGCTTCCAACAATGTCGTAACAATGTCACGGGGATACATAGACGATCAAGTACTATACATAGGCGAAGTATGCGAGGCTAGAATTCGAGATGTACATAGATACCTCCGCGAAACGATAGAATATCACCCCAGACGGTCTCGCTCACGCGCCATGCGGTTTGCATCGTGAAAGGAAAAGTCAGACGGACGAGACGTTAATCGTCGCTTTCGTTCGTCTCCGAGTGCGTACAATATATGCTTCTCTTTAGAGAGACTCTTAGACCTTCGGTCGACCCGGCGTGTGCATTAATACACCGTCGTGGCTTTCAGCGGTGAAGCTTTCCGACGACGAAAGAAGAAAGATAGCCCTCGCCGCTATTTTTCCCCCCCATTTCTCGCTGTATGTATACATTTGCGTGACCGCGCTTGTAACGCACGCGCACCTACCTCCTACTTTCCTACAATCCATCTGCATCTGGATCGCGTACAGACGCGAAACGTATGCACGAGAGTCGAGCGGCTCGAGCCCCGAAAGCTTGCGGCTCTCCGCGAGTGCTTATTACACATTCAGACTCCGCTTTTGCGGCAGCTTCTGCCTCTTCAACGTGCGGTCGGCCGCGCGTTTCTCCTCCGCCACTGGCGGATCTGGAAAAATCTAATTAGCTCGACGATGTATTATTTTATGCAACGTAAATTTTTCTAGGCTTGTAAAGTTTAATTAAAGTTTACTTACCATGTTGCTCGACAACGCAAGCAACACGGTTTTCTTTCTTTTCTTTATGTACGGCCTTTAACAGTATGACTAGCACTAATTTGAATAGTATAAAAAAACTTTGCAATGCAGAAGAGTCGTTTATATGTATAACTGCCTAAAAGAATATAATTTAAACGTTTTAATTGTCTTACAGATTATTATTATTATACATATTTGATAAAGAAAATTTCACACTATATTCAGACGCTGCATACAATCCTGTTTATGGTAATTTGTTTATATATAAATAGAATTATAATTTAGCGCCAAAAAACTATGATTACCTTTATTTTTCTGCTCAAAATAAAAGTTAGTCTTTATTGAACAGTATATTTCATGTTACGTGAAATATCCAATTCTGCTCAGTAAAGTTTTAAATTTGAATCGTAATATCTTGTATAGCTGCAGTGTATAATTCGTGTATTAATTTTTTCCCAAAGAATCAATTACGTGAACTAATTCATCTCGTAGAGCACAGGCATGGAAATATTCTACGTACAATTAAACTGAAAGTAACAAACTACGGCCACAATCGGATTGCGACAGTAATATTATACGAATGAAACATCAAAATGTTGTGTTTAATAAAGTTTGTGTCGGAACTCGAGCTTTCCTGTCTGCTTGTAGGCGGAGGAGCTGAACACCATCGTTGGCAATGCTTTCCGCATGGCGTACGTGGCGCAGCTTCAGCGCCAACCGATCCTTCAGGATGTAATCTCATCGCGCTCGACACCGTCTTATCGCAAGGACAAGCAGGAACATCGAACGTCGTGGGTACGTTTTAAACATATCAAAATAATAGGTCCGATCGTTTGAATAAATTACCGAAAAAAATGCAAATTACGCGAAACACAAAAGAATTATTGTTATCTTGCTGGCAAATAAAAGGAGCACCGTGCAGTTTAAAGTGCTAACGAAGTCATTTATTTTTGCCGCTGTCAGCTAGCGAGTTAGTTGAGTTAAACTTTACAGGCTGGTTCGGTATCGTGCCATCTGCTAGTTTTCTCACAAAAGCGCCGTAGATTGCAATTAAGTAGTTTTAGCAATTAGCGGACAGTCAGTTCCGAGATCTTCTTAAAGATTACGCTTGTTGAGCTCTATCGCAGCAATTTATTTTGCCAAACAAAACAAATAGAGACGTAGAAAGTGAAATTCAATAGATACTTTAATTATACTGGAACTTCAAAACAAACGACTCAATCGCCGCGATCATTATATAACACACACTTCTCATCTGAAACTTTTCTTCCAAAATGAATCGAAATCACTAAGATTGTTTGTCCAAGTCGTACGATCGAATTCTTTTATTTTTTTTTTGCCGCGCAAGCACAATATTCTGAAGGCTATTGGAGCAGATGCTAGCGTCTACTACATATACGCCAGGAAGCAGAACAAATACACGTACCGGGATGCATATATACGAGTACAGCAGTAAGGAAGCTGCTGCTGCAGAAGAAGCTCGCGGAAGAGCCTCTTAAATATCCAAGACGCGCGAGACGAAAGGAACAACAACGGCAACCGTGTCCTCTCCGTCTCACGAGGGCCACCGATTCCAGTAGGTGTCCCGTTTACGAGCCGCGTTAATTATAAATTCGACCCGAGTCTCTCGCTTACCGTCTCACGTCGCGTCGCCTTGCGTCGCCTCGCGTTTCCAAGTAAACGGTCAGTTCGCCACGGTCCGCTCGATGGTCCCCGTCGCAAAATCGCCTAGGGAATTGTGTGATTCCGCCGATTAAATATTCAACCCGGGAGAATCTCGAAGAGACTGTGGATCGTTCCGACGGTTCTGCCTAATCAACGATTCGTCCAAGAGGGATCGAATCCGCATTTAAGGCAATGATTGCGCGTCTCATGCAATAGCGAGGAACCTCCGATCTTGAGGAAATAATCGGAGGTCCTCTTTAAGTACACCGTGTCGCTACGCGGGATGTAATTTTGGGAATGACCGCCGTTTCGTTTGCAGAACAAATCGCTGCCCGGAGACGACACGATCGCTGCTGCGGGCGCTTGCAGGAGTCCGTCGTCGAACTCGTGGCTGAAAAGTCGGACGTCGCCCACCTCCAAGATTGGAAGGGGTCCGTCTGCAGCGGATATGAACGTGCAGCTCGGCAGCGCCGGCTCGCCCACGCTGCGACTCGCCAGCGTAAAGGTGATTTCATACAAGTGTAACAAATCCCGCGCCGTGAACAAAGTTCTGGCCGCTATCATAGCTATCATATTACACTCGGGCGCTATTACGCGAAAGCGAATTAGCCGCAGCCTGGTAGCAACTTGGAGTAAATTAACTTCGTAGAAGGCCGCGTCATCCCGGCTAGGCGACACGTCTCTCTTTTAATATCGCGGCTCCATCCATTTCTCGCGTGACGCGTTTGCAGCTAGAACACGTTTACCTCGACAAGAGTGAACGCTTGTTGCGATCGCGCCGTTTAAACGACGAATCCGACGAATTCCAGGCACCAAACACGATCCCGGGTCTACGGCCGTCGTTTACGAACGTTCTCGGTCCTATAACGAACGTGGACGAGCCGAAGAGCTTATCCCAACAGAGCACGCCGAGCAGCGATGAGAGCAACTCGCCAACGGAGTTGAACTCATACAAGAGGCTAACGGACAAGCCGCCGCTGATAAAGCGGCTGGCGATGGGTTTGACAGGTGGACGCGACGTTCTTGGGTTGAACGGTGAGGATGACAGCTGCCCGCTCGTCAGCGGTAGCAGTACGCCGACCAGCCCATCGAACAGGCCCCATTCCGGGGGCTACATAAACGAGGCGATCATCGACTCGGAGGGTACGAGGCCGTCATACAACAAGATCCCACCGTCCGAGAGCCTCGATAACACCATCAACGCGTCCATCACTAACGTGAAGAATTTCAACATCGAGAACAACAGGTAAGCCGGACCGTTTCCCCACCCACGCGAGGTGTATACGAATCGTGAACACGACAGCTCTTTCGTTTTCAGGATAGGGCACAATTACCCGGACTCGGGCACGGAGGCAGAATTCAAATCGAAAAGAAGATCGCAAATTAGCACGTCGAGCAGTTCGGTACCCGCTGACGGAAGCACTCATGGCTCCACGCCAACCCCGCCGCCTTTACCCGAGAGAACAGACAGCCTGAATAATCGAAGTGAGGAGGCCGAGCTACGCAAGGCGCCCTGGTTTCAAGCTGGTATACCCAGGTTGGTCTCCGCGACATCCAGCTATATGTCGGAGTAAAATATAAACACCCACACACACGCTCGCGGTATACCTTCTCGGTGAGCCGAAATAGCACGTTGCCTCTGGCTAATTTTAAATATTCGTCGAGTGATCCAGAGTCCACAGTCCGGCGGCAGTTGCCTTTGTAACTGAAATACGCAAACCCGATTGTTTTCCCAGTTTCTCCCATGAAAAGACATATCCCGTCCATCCATCATTAATGATACGAATCGTGATTCCAGAGAGATAACGCTGGAGGTATTGAGTCAAGAGCCAGAAGGAGCGTTCATGGTGCGCGAGAGTACCAGCAAGCCCGGATGTTACGCCCTCTCCCTCCGTGTGCCCCGTGAATTCCAGCCGAGCGGAATAGCCCATTATCTCATAATGCGTACAAACAAAGGTTACAAAATCAAAGTAAGTCTCCTACTCTTTGTCGAGTATCGAGTAGTTGTAAACGGCTCGCGAAAGTCAAAGCGAATCTGCCGTTGGCCAGATAGCATTCGCGTTCCCATCAAAGGACTATAAAAGCGAAACTCTGCACGCGGATTGCAATTTACTTAACGTTTCTCTCAGCGAGAATAACGCTGATTGTTTTGATCGATGCGATGCTGTTTGTATTTATTGTCAGAAACGCGATATTCTTAAACAGCCGCTATATAAATTATACATCAGCGAAAATATAATGGCATCTGCTAGCAAAACGTAATAGCGGATTAATTGTGCAGAAATATAACAATATATACATATTTAACTTTAAAAGGGACATTTAAATGTGAACAATTCTGTTCATTTTCTACTATCTATTATTGGAAAATAAGTCGGTGTGTTATATGGAAAGAATTTACTAAATTATTAAAAAATTTAGCTGGATATATCGATCTGAAAATAATTTTGTAGGCTTATAAAAGTGATTATGTAGTAAATTGGTTGTTAAAATGTCAAAATGTCTTTTTACAGCATTCTTCATTATTCTTGAGAGTCTAACATATAGTTATTTCGATTGTTTTAAATTTGTATCTATAATTAAATGTTTAGACACTTCTGAAAATTCTTCTTTTGATCTATACTAACTAACGGAACACAAATTTAATACAATTGATTGGCAATCGTGATGTTCTACTCAAAACTGTTGGCAGACTAACATTTTGCTTACTGGATCTTTACATTTGTACGAAGCTAGACGTCGGTGAAAGGGCTAAAACTCTTTTTAACGCACGAAATAATACCTACGGTAGAGAGAATCCTCCTGTATAAGCGCAAGTTAATATTGAAATAAGCTGCACGGGATGCTAATGCGTGAAAGGCCGAGGCTTTTAGTAGTCTGAACATTATACTCAGGACTACCAGGCCTGGTGCAAAGCTACCGCGCATTTAGCCATTCGGTATTTAAATGGTCGAACTTCCCCCTCTCGTAGGATAGATTAAATGAGTACGCGGACTTTGATAATCTCCGAAACCAGTATAAATGAGTTTTGTTGGATATGCCGTGGATGCCGTGGGGAAATCAAAACTCCTCTTTCTCACTCCCTCGCCCTACGACGACGCGGAAAATTGCATCGCGCTGTAATAAGCACAACGCCAGATTCGAATGAATGCCAGGGTATGTACGATAGCCCTGATATGCCGAGGTTCGTGTCAGCGCGCCCGTATATGATACGTATATTAATATCATCTCGTTATGTGGCGTGTTTCGCAATACGACTGAAAATGCAAAGAAAGATCTCCGACCGACTAATATCGCATTTCATTGTCCTGCAACGTGTGTTACAACAATGCCCGGTAACATGATAATGTGCATATAATATTGAATAATACAATGTGCATATAATAATAGCCGAAACGATAAGCTGGTTGTGTTATTTCTGCGCTATTTATCAAACGGATTTTTCTCTTTATTCAACTAAACTTTTCAACTCTGTCGAAATTCGATTGTGACTAAATTATCTCCAGCTTTGGCTTGAAAATACTAAATTATATTTTTACTCTCTTTTTCGTTTAATATTTTTGATTTTGTCAATGAATAAAATTGTATATTTAAAAGAAAAAGATACTTAACTGTTTCAACAAAAATATATATACGTATAATGCATAAAGTAAATTCTATTTTTATTTTACAACGGACTGGATAAAACCCGTAACGTTTCGATACAACGTTTACAGTTGCGAGAGAAGGTAGAATTATTACGCGAGCGAGATAGCGGTGGGTAAACTTTGACAAGCGTTAGAACGAGCGTTAGAATTAATGCCGATACACATAGCACTAGGAACGCTGTAAAATCAATAATGTTGTATGTTTCAGGGTTTCACGAAAGAGTTCACGACGCTCACTGCGCTAATCACTCACCATTCGGTTATGCCGGAATTATTGCCGTGCCCATTGTCGCTAAGCCGATATAATCCGAGCTTCGTCAAGACTGACTCCAGCAAGGATTTCGCGGACATCGATTCGGACCCGGATTACAATACCCTAGCGGATTTTCGCAAAATGATGGCCGATCTGAATGTCTAAAACGATCGACTAGAATGACTCTCCTCTCTTCTTTCTCTCCTATACACTTTTCTATGGTTTGTCGATTCATATAAAACCATCAGGAAGATACCTGAGGCACCCGTTCGGTATATTTGTATCTGGATCGATTTCGTGCCATTGTACTGTATGTAAAGAGCCGAAGAATTATCCGCGAAGAGATTTTGCCTAAGGTAATCGGCAACGCACATTAAACCACGCCTAGTTAACGAATCTATGTTCCGAAAAGACTCGCACAGCCACCAGTGATACATACTCATAAGTCATTGATAGCGGTAAGAAACGTAGCGTAGATAATTTAATAACTATACTAGTGTATACGGACGCGTGACTGGAATAGCGATTCGATTTTTTTTTTTTTACATTACAGCACGTGCGCCTAGCCAGATATTAGTTTTAAGCTTTACACTGTAGCAATTGACGTCTGTCGAACTTCAATCGGAATAAATTATTTTCACAAAACGTAATATATGTTCGAGTGTGCTCGTTACGAAGATTATTATATTTTTGCGAGTATAGTGTTTCTCTAAGTTAAACGCGACTGTCGAAATCGAATTTTGTTATCGTTTGGATTGCTCTCGATAGTTGCAACAATGCCAAACGATTCGTATAATATATCCTTGTTATGAAACGCGCCCAATAGGTGCGTAATTGGAGAATTAAGAAGATAAGTGGAATAAATTAATTCATGATGAAAGTATACGAATTTAAAAGATTTCGAGTAAATTTTGATTTACAGTTTCAATTTTTTAAAAGCACGTTGGAAGGACGTCAAAATATATTGAAAAAAATTTTTGAAGGTGATACGTGAAGGATATTGTTCTCCGAGAGAAAAATTGAAAATTTCTTTTCAAGATAGCGTTACATTAAAATGTTTTTTCATCTATGTAGTTTCTCTCTCGATTGCAGTTTATTCACGGCGTCCGAAAGTGATTTAGTAATTTTTATTCGACTGAACAGTTTCTCTATACTTTTTTGTAAGCTGTAGTTGAGGCTCGTGTTCGTCACACACAACGTAAATATATTCATCTATGTTTGCTCCGGAATGGCTATTGTGTAATAGGCAAATGCAATCGCTTCCTCCGTTTTATCATTGGACTTTATAATTAATCAAAAGTGTATCTTTAATAAAATGTAAAAAGTCTACGAGGAAGTGTCACGTATTCTGTACCTCGAAATGTGGGTTTAGCTAAGTGAGTTGAACACTCAAAGTGTTCGAGCTTGGGAGCAAGTCAAGGTATATGTGGTCCATTATCGAGCCTATATATGTCGGAGTTAAAATTCCTTTCGTTATCATTTAATCGCATTCCCGATGATACATCGGGGATCAAAAACGAAACAATATTCATCGAAATTTCGATAAAAAGAGAAACAGTTTGTTCTTTTTTAGTATTAAAAATAGAATAATTTTGATTGCTGTATGTTTCAATTATTATCTTGTACAAAATAACACGAAAAATGAAAATTTTCTGATTTATTTCTCATTTCACGGCGAATAAAATAATAAGTTATTGGAAAATGTTCTATTATAATTTATTGAAAACAAGATACAATAGAATAAAATTGCAAAACGAGAACAAAAACGGATGAAATATTTTTCGCTTTGATCCCTGATCGCAATATTGATGTACATGTGTTTATATGTATATATATGTTATAATTATTCTCACTCGCGCGTTATATTTCCACACGTATATTTAATTAGTAAACGTCAAAGAGGATTAGTAAACGGCATGGAATCTTGGAAATGCAATTACGCCTAAGAGAGGACACAGAACTTCCTCGAAATTTCGACTCGAAGAAACACGAATTATTGTAATAGGCGATAATTTAGTTTCTCAGCTATCCTAGTCTTGTACAGAAATTCGCGCATAGCTACGACAATGAAATCATATGATGCGTAGATAACTATCGTATTTAAAATAACGATTCTCAGCGTCGACCACACTCTAAATCGCACTTTTTTGTATACCAGAAAATAATTTTCCGAGTATAATCACCACATATTAGCGATTTCTTGATTATTAAATAGAATGTACAAGCTACATTGAAATCTACAAACTGCCATCTCATAAAAATCATTCATTACGACCGTTATTCATTATTTAAAAATAAAAGTAAATATGCGCCATAGGGATACGACACATAGCGTACATTTTTGTAGCATTTGAATATTAAATTTTCTAAAATGACGACGGTTTCGATTCCTGAACGACAAATGAGATTACATCATAATTTGTCGAAAAGTTTCATATACTTAGACTTGTATCTAGTAACGCATTGTGCTAAGAGAAAGTTCAGAATGATGCATATAATGTATTGAAATCGTATGTATGATATGTATAATAGATTTCTGCGAATATGAATCAATTGTGACTTTCTGCTTCTGTAATGTGTTACTATAACGCTTTAATGACAACGCGAATTGCTAAAATTTATTGTAATAATGAAAGAGAGCGATCTCGTCAGAGAAATCTGTATCTATAACATTTTATTACGCGTCTACCATAAATCATTTTTTTAACTTGTAGCCGCAATTGCGTAAAAACATGCTGTCTTGTGTCATTAATCTCATCACACATGCGCGATCTAACGGATTGTGCAAAAATTTTAAAATAGTGTTTTTGGAATATCAAGTTAAAAATAACAAGAAAAAATAAAGTGTTTATATTAAATCGATTAATGCGTGCCAAGATCGCGCAAAAAAAAAAAAACAGCATAATTAACTGTTGTAACGTACGCTACGCATGACATTAATCACTGCTTGAGGTTTGTAATGTTTCATGAATTTTTATTATTGCAATGCGTTGTATAATGTCAAGAGAAATTATTTATTACAATAAATATAATACAAAATATTCCTTATGATTGCATAACATCCTGTAGGATCCAACAGTATAAATTTAATGATTTAAATAACGTGTCACACATTAAATAAAGGTCGAAATGTGACAGATAAAAAGATACGAATATGTGTCGCTTCAGCTGTCATGAGCCACAACACTCTTTTGCCTTTCTGATACAAACGGTACAGCTCCCTTTTTAGAATGAGAACGTCTATTAGCCTCCCTGCAAGATAAAACAATGTTATGATACTATTCAAAGTATATTGTAAAATTCAAATATTGTAGCTTTTCGTTATACTTACTTGCGTTTACTTTTCTCGCGAATCGTTCGTAATTCGGCTCGCGCATTAAATATATGTTTCGGTACTTGTCTATGACGTGCAATTCGTCGAATTTGCGGATGCGCTGCATACTTCTCTTTCAAGACATCATTGACAAACCGTGCGTTTCTTTCTCTAGCTCTCAGCTGTTAAAAATAGGAGCAGAGACATAAAGAGTATTATCAATAATTTATTAAAAATTGCTTATAAATTAGTGGAATTCTGATATGTATGCTTACAATGCCAAGCTTTTCCGATGCTTTAGCCTTCCATATACGAAGATTCATTTCATCACTGCCACTAATTACGAATTTGTTATCGAGCGACCATCCTACGCAGGTAAGTCTGTGCATACGTCTTGTGTGATACACTTCTCGCGAGTGACCTTTATTGGTCTCAAAAATACGAATCGATGTGTCATAACTGCCTGAAACAAATTCTTTCCCCGTCGGCGAATAATCCACATCTATCACGGCCTCTACGTGATCCATATGTACATTAACTGGTGATTTCATTTTGCGAATATCATAAGTGTACAAACTAAAACAAATATATTTAAGATTCACGAAGAAATCGCATGAAGCTATCCTTTGAGGTTATATTTTATATCTTACTTGTAATCTTCATTGGCACAGGTAAAGATGAAAGATTCCATAGGATTCCAAGAGAGCTTGTTGCTCCGTAATTTCATGATTATCTTTGTTAAAGGTCCTGTTTCTCTAGTGTCGTATAAAATTATGCTGCGATCGCTAGCGCAAGAGGCTGGAAATTAAAATTAAATTTTACATAAAGCATATTTTATTGGTATTTCATGTTTATATAGAAATATAATAATCTTTCATCATATGTGGTACCTAAAAGATCTTTTTGCACAGGATTAAATTTTACGTCAAGTAGACTATCTACACCCCATTTAAATGTACGAAGTGGCTCGTTACGAGTATCCTCCCACATTTGACAAATTCCTTCTCCACAAGTAACAAATGTAGATTTAGCTCGATGATGAGTTATACCAGTTAATACTGTCTATGGACAAAAAAATTGCTTAAAACCGCAAATCTTAGGAAAACTATATTCACACAAATGCTACATACTTTGCTGGCAATAGTATTCACAGGTTCCTCTTCTTCATCAACAGAGACTGCGTCCCAGGTTTTGATCGTCTTGTCATCGCTGACCGTAATGAAATGTTTTTCATCTGATATATATGCAATACCGCGAACTATGCCATCGTGAGCTAAAAACGCACGTGTGCACGTGCCTAGGCTAAGAGACCACGTTCTCACCTCGCCATCGTAAGCACCGCTGAGAATTGTGGACAACTGAGAGGGATGTTTACATATGCAGGATATTGAATCCTTGTGGCCTTCCAGATTACCCACAAAAGGCTTTGCGAATACCTTTTCCAGCTTAACAGCGTTCAGTGCTTTTGTGTATTCCCTAGCCGCTTGGAATGGATGCAAAGAGGGATCGAAATTTCGTGGAACTGTAAACAAAACGATATCCGAATATTGTTGTTCCTTTTTTAGGTTATTCCCACCGATTGGTGGAACTTATGCACCTTCAACTTTCCCTTGAAGTTATATGATTGAATATTATTTATGTTAATGTTCTATCGCCTTATAAATAATTTTACTCAACTTCTTGATATAATTGAAAATGATTTTCATTGCTGTTCCGCACGATCAGGTTAGACTTGTAAATAGCTTCGCGATTTACTTACTTTTGTGAATGTCTCGTTTAGTCTCTCGTAAATATTCATCAGGATTTCTACTTAATACTTTAACTTTCATCTTTAAGCAAGAATTAAACACTTTTTTATCAAAATATTCATAAAAGATTATTTCTGATCTCACGTGTTTATTTTCCAAAAGCAGACTGCAGAACAAAGTGACGAATGCGACATCTGTGAAAACTCTCTAGAAACTACTAGTAACGTATTTGAAAATGGCTGTATAGTTTGAATGTAATTGACCAATATAAAATAACTAATATTATATATTTTGAAGTTTTTTTAAAATATTTATTAAAAAATTTTTAAGTTTATAAAACTATTTGAAAGACATCTATTTGAAAAAGTTAATTTTTCTCAATTTTTATATTTTTAATATATCTTTTAAAGCATTCTCTGCAATTAATTCAATCAACAATTACTAGAGTTGCTCCGATCCGAGAGTTCCCGCAAAATCACGAGGAAATGTTCTCGTGATAAATTTATTTTCTTTCGAAAGTGTCAACTTTGAATATGTCTCACAGTGAATGAATGAATTATTGATGCGTTAAAGACAAAAGTCATTAAAAGACGAAATAAATTATTGTTAGCATATATATGTCAATATTTAATGTGACATGGCACCTCTCTCAGTAAGAAATGACAATGAAATCGACATCGAATTGATGTCGATTCGGCGTCGAAATCATCAAATCGACGTCGATTCCACATTGTTATTTCTCACTGGGCTAACGCTATATTGTGGAAACTTTTAAAACAACCTACATAAAAAAATTAATAATTCTATCTATTATAAACAACTCAGGTAGCAAGGTATCGTCTACTTGATGTAATTAATTAATCATTCTTGACAAATTTGACGTCCTATTATTGTAAAAATGATGTGGATTAATTTGTCACAGCCACATTTATTATATGTAATAAATCGATGTCGAAAATATATATCATTAATAAAAAATTACTCGTCGATTAGTCATTTATCCGACGTCAAAAAGTATAACGTTAATAAAAATACGTCGTAAATAAATGTCGTCATTCATTGGTTTAAAAGGTGACGTCATTATTACATCTTAAATGGGTCACATACGTTAATAATTCAAATGACTAACTATCGACGTCAAAATGACTACAGCTTGCTACCTGGGAAAATGATAGAGACATTGACTGACGGCAAGTTCCTAATAGCAAAAAATGTTACGTAAACCTGTAGGACACGATACGTATTTTCTTGCTGGATTGCTTGCATTTTGGTAAATTATTAGAAATTTTGCATTCAATGTGATGCAATTCTAGTATAATTTACTAAAATGTAATCCAGCAGGAAAATACTAATCGTATGTCCTACAGGCATTAATTTATTTATGTCATAACAGCGTGAGGTGCAATTTTTATCATAATTTTATAATGATATCACAGTGATATGACCTGTAACAAAACGGACATTTGCACATCACGATGACTTCATTGTGATATAACTACGACTTTCTTTTGTCATCAGTTTAATTACCGAAATCTTTGACGAACATAAATTATACATACATGCACATATATATAATTATGTTTGACACATAACACATGTGCATTTTAAAAAAGACAATTGCTTTTCATAAATATATAATAATATAAAATATTTAAATAAATTTATTTGATCAATTGTATATGTGTATATGATAGCAATTTATATTGTAATCGTTGTATCAATTAATATGATACATTCGATGAAAAGGTGTGACGATATCATATCACTATAATATATAATATGTTCTAAGTAAGTTTAGTATCATATGCGAAGAGTAAAGAAAAGAGATAGAGACAAGTGAAATATTTCGGTAAATAAGATTACACGAGCGATAAGATTACACGAGCTTTTAACTCGACCACAGACACGATAAACATCATCTTGCATTCAGGCTTCAACCGTACCAAATCGATTTCCACTATGCCAGGTGAGTACCAATTTTCTTTAAAACATTAAAATAAGTAGGTATTCATTAAAAAGATTGTTTATATATTTATAAGATCTCTGCTTTCTCATTTATTTTATTATTCTTCGACTTTTCATCGACATTTGCTATATTGAGGATGTTTTATCAAAAATGTCATTTCTTATATTTTAATGATTTCATCTCACTAAAAATAAATCTACAGATATTGAATTTTAAAAAACACGAATTACAATTCTATCATAGTCTGGATAATTCAAATTTAATTAAAGAATCTGAATAATTTAAATCTATTAATCTATTATCGAAGGTTTTTTTAAAATTTGACTGGTTTCAGAAATCTACTTTTTTGGGGAGATTTTTTAACTATTATTTTCAACACGCGATGATTCACAAAAGAGGAATAATTTTTGGTTTAGTTGACAGAGCGTTTTGGCTTTCACATCCAGAGTTCGATGAAAAAAATTTAAAGTTTATACAATAATACTTTAGAATTTAATGTGTGCGCTTGTCTTACTGCGCTGACTCTTAAACAGCCGCCTAAATTATTATTATTATATTTAATTATAAGGAGTCCAGTTTTTTAATTTATATTTCTAATTTTTTATTGAATTTAAATCTAGTTATACATTATAAGTTATAATTATATTGTCGCTATTTCTAAAAATTAATTTTTTTAAATTTAATTAATAATAATAGTAGATTAATTTAAATCAGTTTAATCTAGTTTAAACATTTAATAATAAAAAACATAAAAGTAAAAAATTTTATTTTTTATGATTTAATAACTTAAGATTGAATAATTCTAGCTATGACGTATTGCGTGAATATACACATGCTTATAGATAATATTTGCATTGCGTTACATTACATATTAAATAATTATTACTGTAATAACTATATCAATTTAAGTATAAAAATAATTGTACATATAGTCTACTTTTTTATCAGAAATGTAAAGAAATCCATTATTAAATATAATTACTTTATTTTCATAATATATGAGTCATGGATTATAAAGATAATATGTATGACACGTGAAATCATCGATTACGAGAACCATCTGGAAGTATCTTATCCTATCGATGACAAAGAACATGTTTTAGTGTATTATAATATTTTAATATTACGTAACACATTATAACTTATTCATGATATCCGTGAAATTGTGCAAAATAAGATTATATCATTTAGTGGAATTAAATATTTCATTATTAGATATAGCGTTATCAAATGATTAGTATCAACTTGATTAAACGATCTATGTCTTAATAATCATTAAGACATAGATTATAATTTTCTTTGCACATATGTATAAAATTTAAATATAAGCATATATGGTAAACTATATAGTATACACACAATCTAAAAAATTTATTTCTTACAATATATTTTTTTATAATAAGAGCAAATAAATATATAATATTAAAATATTAAAATAATTTTACTAAAAAATTTTTTTTAGTGATTGTTATCTGTACTAATATACAGGTGTCCGGAATTTAAATATGAAAAAATCGGGAGTGTGTAGAAAATCGATGAACTAAAAAGAAAAATAATTTAACGAACTTTTATTTGTAAGAAATATCATCTGTATTATATGTAAGTTTTTATTTGCAATTAAATACTCAACTGGCTCTGAGCCCTCGGAATTTCTAATTCTTTTTAAGAAAAAAAAAATCCTGAATATACTCGTTTTGTTTCGTTTTTGAGAAAATCGCAAAAAACATAAAACGTAGTTACATCGTTCTTGGATATGAAGGAATAGTGTCTTGGCTACCCCGTTTACTTGATCTGACATCACTGGACTTCCTTGTGTAGAGGGTCCTAAAGCAGGAAGTGTATTTGTTGTTAATCAACTTAAAAGAACAATTGAGAAATCGAATCGAAGCTGCAGTGCACCACCAAATATCACCAACAGTGTTTGGTTGCGACATTGAAGCTGTTCGTACTGACGATATGCTTGCATTTCTGCAAGAGGCCAACATTTTAAAGAGGCCAATATCTAGATGAAGCAAGTAAATACTACAATACAACGTGAATAAGTAATGAACAAGTATAAAAATAAAAACTACATGCGTTTTGTCTTTTTTGCGATTTTCTTCGAAGCAAAACGAACATATCTCTACAAGACTTTTCTTCTTAGTTTATCTATTCTCTACACGTTCTCGAAGTTTTGACATTTAAATTTCGGACACTCTGTATATTATTTTAAATTTAATGAAAATAATGTTTAACATACAAACTATATAAATATTTACATTTTTCCTTATTTTAATAATTTTTTTATCAAATTAAATATAATATTTTATTAACTATTAAGTAACATGAGATTTTCATTTGCCAACAAAATGAAGTCGAAAGACTTAATAGAGCCGAGTCTACTAATATATGTATTAATGTATTTAACATATCGATTTTGCTAATAATTTCATTATTGCAGCCTACAGATGGGTAAGCCGTGTCAGTAGTCAATCGCTGCCAGAAAATGCAGTCACCGGCGGTCGCGACACTGACGGAAGTAAACTTTACGTCGGCAGAGCTTTTCACGATGGCGACATGTTACCAGCAAAAGTAATTCCTGATAAGGGTGTCGCTTATGTTTGTCACAACGGCGAGGAACACCCCAAAGACAATTATGAGGTGAGTACAAATAAGTTAAACGAATTTTTTTAATTTTGATCGAAATTTTTGTCACAGAAGTCAACAGTGATTACCACCAATTATCTGTATTAAAACTTGTATAAATGGATTTAAACTCATTTAAGAAACCAATAACGATTATTCTCTCTATATAATAATGATTAAAAATGGTTACATCATTTTCATAACTTATATAATACTCCGTAAATAAGTACATGGGGTACCGATCACAATACAAGACTAAAATTAATCATATCAATTTTATTAGATTCAAGATGATCTTGAGATATCAAATTTTGTTCGGAAGTAGCTATTGATCTGATAAAGATATGATTCGGTAGGTGACTCAAAGATTAGCACAAGATTGTTATATTATATTTCGTTATCTGATAATGTTTGCTCAAAAAGAACAACGATAAGAACAAAAAATGTATAAATATGAATTGTCGATGATATTTGTAAGCAATTAGTTAATTATATCACAGAATGATATTACGATGTTTTCAGGTCCTTGTCCAAGGGGAATTCGCATGGGAGTTCTGTAATAACGG